TGCGCGCGGGGCTGGACCCCAGGCGGAGTTCCCTGGGGCGCACGGCACTCGGGAGCGTCTGCCCCTGCCGTCCCCTGCGAGGTGATGGGGGAGCCCCAGCTGGGGCTGTCTCGGGGCCGCGGGCCCGCTGCTGTGGTGCCAGGGTCGCCTGCATGGTGGGCACAGGCAGCCCCAGCCCTAACCCCAGCTCCCGTCAGTGCCCGGGTCCCAGGAAGGTCAGCCAGGCTGCTGGGCGCCGAGCAGGTGTGGGCTGGCACCCCAGTCTCACCATACCCAGGGCACCCTGCAGGGCAGGAATGGCCAGACCTCAGAGGCAGCAGCCGGAGGTCAGGGCTTTGGGTCACACCCTGGCCGCCCTGCCTGGCGCTCCTGCCACCAGCTGGCCCGTCCGCCTCAGCCCCTTCCTTTCTGGACCTGCCTAGACCCGGGAGAGGAGGGTGCTCTGGGGCTCTGGGAGCCAGATTGGTGCCCTGCCCTTTCTTGGTTCCTGCCCCAGGCTGTTCCCGGGGTTCCTGGAGGAGGGCTCAGCTGGAGGTACCCCATGGGGCACAGGGCTGGCTTACTCGACCAGGGTCCCCAGCTGCCTTGGGGCCCCTGCAAGGCCCTGGCCTCTGCCCTTGACACAGGGACTCCCCAGAGTTGAAGTTCACGCCCTGGACCATGGGCGAACCACTGCTGCCCACTGCATGATGCCCCCACATCAGGCTCCGGCTCTCATCATGTGGGGAGCTGCCCCGGGCCCCCTAGAGGGAGGCCCAGGCCTGCTGTCGGCCCCAAGGTTGGCGGAGGGACCTGCCCCTCCACGCCAGGCGGCGAGTTCTGCCTGCAGCCCCAGAGACCCTGCCCGAGTTGGGGGGCTGTTCTGCGAGGCAGTGGCCCTAGTGCAGTGCAGGGCGGCAGCATTCCCTTTCGGGCCAGGCCCCTGGAGCTGTGCTGGCCAGTGGGCTGGACACCGGAGGAAAGTCTGTCCAGCCTCAGGGCGTCTGCTGGTCATTGCCGCGTGCAGCGGGGCCCCTCAGCGCGAGGAGCAGGTGGCCTGCGGCGGCCCCCCCAGGTGAGGGAGATGGAGTGGGCGCCAGCCTCCGCTGAGCTGAGGGCGGGGCCCCGGAGGGGGCGGGGCCTCCGCTTCCCCTTCCTGCCCCGGTTGCGCTCTCGCTCTCGGGAAGCTGAAAGTGGCCCTGGCCGCCTGCAGCGCTGGTGGGTGGCAGGTGGGTGCAGGGGGGAGCCTGCCCCAGCACCCCAAGTGCAGGCGGGGCGGGCTCTGCTGGCTGTGCTGCATGATCGTGTCGGGGCTCGGCTGGCCAGGTGCTCAGGGTTGGGGGGGGCGGTGCTTGAGCCCCCTGAGGTCCTGGCCAGGCCCACCTCCGCCCGCCCCACCCCGGCCCGGGCTGGGGTCCGGCCAGGTCTGCCCAGCTCTCACCTGAGGACTTGCCGTGGGGGCCCCGGGGCAGGGCGGGGCCAGGCCTGGGCCCAGCCCCCCACCCCCACCTGGGCCAGCTCTGCAGGGGAGTTTCGTGACTGTTCAGAAAATCAGAGCAACAGCTCCTGGGCCAGGGACCGAAGCCAGCGCTGTTCCCTGTCATGGGGGCCCCAGACACCCCAGCTCTGCTCCAAGCCCCCACTGCCAGCATTGCATCACAGGGAGCCCCTGCCTCCGTGCCAGGCCCTCCCGGGGACCCGGCAGGGAGGGGCCCGTGGGGTTGCTGGTGGCCGCCGCCAGTCCCTGCCCGGCGCTCAGGCGAGGACCGTCCTGTCCCCTCAGGCTGTGCCCTCGCTGCCGGGAGCCGCCGCCCAGCAGCCCAGCCATGGAGAGCGAGGCGGAGCAGGCGCCGCGTGAGGTCAGCAGCCGGGCTGGGGGCCTGCCTCCCGGGTAGGGCGTGGAGGCTGCAGGAGGCTCCCCAGAAAGGGCCGTGGCCGCGGGGCTTCCGGCTGTGGCGCTGTCCGCAGCCTGCCCAGCGCTCCCTTCTGTGCAGGCCGACGGGGAAGCTGTTGCGACATCGGGGAGCATGGAGGAGGCCCCCCAGGAGCTTCCTGGAGAAGCGCAGAGCCTGTGTGCGTGCCGGGCCCTCGGCCAGTGGGCGGGGCGGCCGGGTGGGGGCGCATTAGCGCGACCGTGGCCGCCCGAGGAGGGGCCCGCGGTGAGGGCTCCGTCCTAGCTGGCCCTGCTGCCCTGCAGCCGACGTGGAGGCCTTCAACCTGCTCCTGGAGGTGAAGCTGAAGCGGCGGCGGGAGCGCCCCAGGCTGCCCCGCACGGTGACCCAGCTGGTGTCCGAGGACGGGAGCAGAGTGTACGTGGTGGGCACTGCCCACTTCAGCGACGACAGCAAGCGGGACGTCGTGAGGGTGAGCCCCGCCCCGCCCCCGCCCCCCCGGGGCGTGGCCTGGTAGCTCCGGGGCTGAGCCGCCCCCGCTCCCGCAGACCATCCGAGCGGTGCAGCCGGACGTGGTGGTGGTGGAGCTGTGCCAGTACCGCGTGTCCATGCTCAAGATGGACGAGCGCACGCTGCTGCGGGAGGCCAAGGAGATCAGCCTGGAGAAGCTGCGGCAGGCTGTGAGGCAGGTGCGCCGGCCGGCGGGCGGGCTCTGGCCCCTGCGGTGGGGGGGGTCGGGGCCCCAGGTCAAGGCCCACTCGCTGCCCAGGGCGGAAAATGTGGGGTCCAATTGGAGGGGGCCACAGGGACCTACGCGGTGGGCAGTGCCGCGACCTGACTCCAACCCAACCCCACGAGGGTCAGCCAGGCGGCCAGACATGCCCTCCAGGGCTGGACCGGCCACCAGCTCAGTGGGCCCTGTCCTGCAGAACGGGGTCATGTCCGGGCTCATGCAGATGCTGCTGCTGAAGGTGTCCGCTCACATCACTGAGCAGCTGGGCATGGCGCCCGGCGGCGAGTTCAGGGAGGCCTTCAAGGAGGTGGGCCGGGCTCGGCGGGGAGGGGGCCGCCCAGGGGCCGCCGGGTGCCCCAGACCCCGACCATAGCCCGTCTGCCCAGGCCAGCAAGGTGCCTTTCTGCAAATTCCATCTGGGCGACCGGCCCATCCCTGTCACGTTCAAGCGGGCCATCGCGGCCCTGTCCTTCTGGCAGAAGGTCAAGCTGGCCTGGGGCCTGTGCTTCCTTTCAGACCCCATCAGGTAGGCCCCGCCTCCCGCCTGCTCCGCCCTCCACTGCTTGGCCCCGCCCCATGCTGCCGGCCACACCCACTGCTGGCCCCGCCCCATCCTGGCTGGCCCCACCCACCCGCGCCCCACCCTGCGCTGGCCCCGCCCCGCCCGCCCCGTGGACTGGCAGCGCCTTCTGCCCAGCAAGGACGATGTGGAGCGCTGCAAGCAGAAGGACCTGCTGGAACAGATGATGGCGGAGATGATCGGCGAGTTCCCCGACCTGCACCGCACCATCGTCTCGGAGCGCGACGTCTACCTGACCTACATGCTGCGCCAGGCCGCCCGGCGCCTCGAGCTGCCCCGCGCCTCCGACG